GCGCGCCCAGCGGGACCGCAGGAAGGCGGGCGTCACGAGCGCCAGCGTGCGCCGCGAGCGCCGCACGGACGCGTCGATCTGCGCCGGGATCCAGGCGCCGATGGGCCAGTCGCGGTAGTACAGGCACAGGCGGCGGCCGCCGGCCTCGAGGCGCGGCGCGAGGCGCTCGGCCACCAGGCGGCGGTCGGCGGCGGCGTGCGCCACGAAGGCGTCGTACTCGCGGTCGTCGTCGGCCGGCTCGAGGCGCCGCGCCAGCCAGCGCGCGCGCACGCCGCGCGAGTGCAGGAACGCCTGCGCACGGAACGGAATGCGCTTCGTTTAGCACGGAAAGACGATAAATAATAATAACGACGATAATAAAAATAAGAACCCCGCAGGGCAGCTCTGTGGCGAGTCGTCGGTGAGTGGCGGCACACGGTGTCAGTTGTCAATCCGAGCGCTCCCGAGTCGGTCGAGACCCTCGTCTTCGGTTCGCCGAAGTGGATCCGCAGAGTCTGCAGGACTTTTACCTGGCTTGCCTCAACCGGCCAGCCGGGGTGGAGCAAACGGATTTCGTACCAAAAAGGACGCCCGATCAGCATTATCCAGCCGGCCGAGTGCGCGCCTGGCCACTGATTTTTGGCTGACGCCTCGGTCGGAAGGGATCGTGAGTTCGTCACCCGGGGCACCGTCGGCTCCCCGGCGGGCCTCACCGGGCACCTCACCTTGAGCCTGAGGCGCGTCTCGGGGCGCGCGAGCAGCACGGCGGCCAGGCCGGCGGCGAGCGCGGCCGCGCACAGCGCCGCCAGCGCCGGGCCCGCCCAGCCGAGCCGCGCGCAGGCCAGCGCCTCCAGCGCCGCCGCCACCGGCGTGCCGTCGCCGCACGTCGTGTTCGCGTAGTCCAGCACCTGCAACCACACCCGACGTCAGGGCGACGGGACGATCGTGAGCCACGAAACTCACGTCCGCGGGACGCGAACGGTGACGCGCGAGATGCGAACTGATGCGCCGAGTTCGAAACTTTAGTGTCGCATTAGAAGTTCACACACACAAAGTGATCAAAATATGTGCTCATTATCTACTGCGGTATCAGTACTCGACGTTCGAGTAATCTTTAGTACAACGCAAGCAATGTCATCTGTTTACATTATGACGTCGCTGTCATCATTGCAGTCACGAGCGATGCGTTGTTTTTGGGCATATCGCCTGGCCCCGCCCCTTTTCACATCTCTCTTTAGTGTCTGTGGTGACGCGTCTCTGTCACGGTCCCGTTCCCGCCTCTCGTTTCCCCCGCTGCGACTCCCGTGCGGCCAGAATCTCCAGCCAATAAAAACCCAACCGGTGAAGGTCGAGTTCGTCCCGGGGGAAAGTTAACCGTCATCGGACCCGCAACGAAATCGATCAGAATAACACAGAGGGAGTTCGAAGTCGAGGTTGGAGTTTCTCGACAGCGCTCACCAGAGCCTTGTTGGCGTCGAGTGCTTCCAGCAGCGCGCGGTTGTCGCAGTGGCAGCGCAGCGGGTTGCCGGCGAGGCGCACGCGCGCGCCGCCTGCGAACAGCGCCGCCGCCTCCTCCGCCGTCGCCGACTCCAGCGCGCCGTCGTTCAGGTCCAGCATCTACGGACATCGTCCGGTCAGTTCACAGAGAGACGTGTCTCTAAAACTATTTTGTGATTCGAGTACTAGAAAATCTACGCCAGGGATGGCGAACCAATGGCACGCGTGCCATCGATGGCACGCGCCACAATATTTAGGGCACGCCACCGATCACAAAATTTAACTTGTACTATCTATACCCCTCATTGATAGCATTAGGTGTTATAGTAGGGAATTTAGTGCAAGAACCCCTCCACTTTGGTATAGAAGGCTCATTTTTGCAACAGTGGTTCTTTGGGTACTCCTGAGTGGATTTCCGTCGGTAGACATCGGGAGCCCCCCCTGTGGTAGCAGGGGGAGGGGGGGCAAGTTTCCTTCCACCGCGCTTCACTTTAAGGTCCATATCTTCAAAACTATGGGTATTAGGGCAAGTGTGGTATCATTTTCGGATAATTAAATGATGGCGAATTCATTTCTAGAACAAACTTTTTGCCTTTTCATACAAAAAAATTGAAATATTGAGTAAAATTCACAAAAACCAAAAAGTATTTTTTTAAATAAACGAGGTTTACTTTTAAACCACTGGAGATAATCTAATAAAAAAAATATGACCTGAAAGCTACATTTATCAGGATTATAAAAATATAGCATTGTATGGTACTTTTTTCGCAAAAAGTAGGTAAAAAAAATTTTTTCTTCAGGACACAGCGGGCGAATTTTATTACGCATCGGAAAAAAATATTTATTTTATCCATGAATTCATACTATTTGGTTCATAAGCAAGCAAGAATTATTATTTTAGAATTTATTTAGAGTTGCTGGCACATCAATCTACCATGATTTGTATTTTTTCGTCAATTGATTTTGAACTCTATTCTTAAGACATAAGGTTGAAAATAGCTTAAATACATTTAAATATTGAAAATATCATAAGAAGAAAGCACTAAATAAAGAACTTTAATTTGTCTAAACGTCTTAATGATTATTATTATTTTAATTAACACTTTTATTTCTACATACTATTGTACCAGTGATTTAACGGAAAGGTAAGTGTAGGGAAATTAGGTTTCACAATCATAGTACGGGAGATATTTTTAGCACAAAGGTTACGGCTTTGACCGTTTTAGTTGTTTTTTTCAGACAGCACCAGCTTCTGCACTACTTCTTGCACTTAC